GATGTCGTGAATGGGTTTGTTCCCTGGACTGATTTGTACCTTTCTATTGTTCACAGTTCTTTTCCACTAAGTTTCAATACGAGGCGGATTACGGTCGCAGTGTGCACTTTCGTTTCATTGAGACCATTTCACGCCCCCTTTTGCCGAGTGATTTTCGAAAGAAGACGCCCACTTTTGACGTGTGATTTTTGTAAGTATTTTCTAGTTCCGAACTTTGACAAATCCCCAGCCTGCACTAGCGCGACATTTCTGTGTAATAGTTTAAGGGCTTTTACTATTCTTACCTCCGATAGGTCGTTTTCGATTCAACCCTTTAATATCATAGGCTGTAGGTTTTAGTTAGGCCCAAATTGCTGAGAAATCTTTGCATACATACAAATACAAATTCTAATTGTTTGCTAAGGGTTGCAAATCTTATAAGCAAACTGGTTTATGACATCTTAATCTGGTCCTAGCCACATTATCTTTTGAGTTATTACAGAAACTTGATGCAATACTCTCAATTCCAGAAACTCGATTTTTCAGGTGGCTATCTTTCTATCGAACAATGGATGAAATGAGATACGATGGGATTATGCTATATCTCAAAGAGCAAAAATTTTCTGAGGATGCTCTTTCTCTGCAGAGAAAAGATATAAGAAGGGCAAGCAAGAGTTTTTTTACAAGAGGTGTTATTTTTTACAAGATAACTTTTGCAAGTTTTATTTTAATTTTTCTTCAAATTGTTATTCACAAGTAGCTGATTGAAGCATGAATCTAAAATTGTTAGAGGAGCGTGATGCTGATGATCAAATTATCCTGCAAGGGACAGCCTCTAGCAATTCCCTATTGACTTTGCTGTGAAGCATTACTATTCTAATATCATTACTTATCTTTTCAAAAACTTTAAGACTTCAAATGATACATCTTCTATACCAATTAATTAAATCTTCAGTTTTGTACTTTTCTTTAAAAACTATTTTTCATGTCAGAGAATAAATTGTTCTACAAAGCATGCGAGAAAAATATCAGAGGCAATCCTGTTATTCACAAGGAGAGAGAAGTTGTCAGAGGAAGAGTGAAATCAAAAGAAATATTTTTGGCTTTCCATGCTAACTTGATGGGTGGGCACACTGGTCAAACAAAAACTGCAAATGCCATCTCTGAGAGATTCTTTTGGCCAGGAATGTGGGAAGACATTAGGAAATGGGTGTGTCCCTTGTAATTTTAGTTGATGGAAACTTCAATATGTTACATTGACATTTCCATTTAGTTCTACAAGTGTTTCCTAATATTGCCTAATTATGAGTAATCACAGTTCCCTGTGGGTCTTACAAAGCAAAGCATCTATTTCATGAAATGAACATCACTGAGGCTATGAAGTAATAAAAAAACAAATGAAATGAATTTGAAAATGTGGAACAAAATTTCTTTTGAAATCAGGAAGACCAAGCAAAGCTATTAAACAAACATGTCAAGAACTTTTGCCTAGATTTACCTCCAAAACAACTTAGCATTAGGAATTTCCTCAGACAGTAACCTCTATTTTCTCCTAAAAACCATCTCCAATAAACAAACACCATCTAAAAAAACAAAAACTGCTATTGTTTTTCAGCAATTGGCCAATCGATTTGTGATGTTATTCTGTCATCATGTAATCCACATGACATCTATCAAGTGCCATTATTGGGAAAGTCAAATAGATTGGCTGCCAATGTGGGGGCTGGCGTATATCTTGGAAAGAGGCATAAGCTCCCCTTTGCCCCTTTGTCACCACCATTCTTGCAATTAACTTAAAAATACTGCAAAAATACATTAACAGACCATGGATAAATGGAACACTGGGTACAAAAACAGCCTTGGTTCAGCTCATTGTCCCAGGCATCACTCTTCATACATTGATTTTCTTTGTAGACCTAACTTTTTTTATTGTACAGTATATATCTTGATATTCTTAGTATACCTGTAAAATGTGTTGTTGAATTAAGTGAGTTTGAGTTTGATTATGTAATGTTTATTTCAGGTGGGCTGCTGTGAAAAGTGTCAAAAAAATACAGATATTAAGGTGGTAAAGGAAGAGCTTCAACCAATAAAAGTTAGTGCTATCTAGAAACTTATTTATTCTCTCAGCGCATATGTCCCAAGACATTATTCAATTCTTTTGTCCAAAATTTCAGAGCAACGATAAAGTGTGTTTCTTTAATGATTTGTTAAACAATGTGTTCCATTTAAATGGAGCATAATTTAACAGTAGTCATAACTGCAATTGGGTTCTTCAGTTTTGCTTTGTTTACATGTCTTTTTTTTAATCGATTTCAGGTATCTTTTCCATTTGAAATGGTCGGAATTGACCTAATTGGTCCTCTTGCAAAAACACAGAGGGGAAACTGCTATATATTTACAGCCACCGATTTTTTTTCAAAATGGACTGAGGCTTTCCCCATTAAAAGCAAGTGTGCTTCGGAAGTCGTGAAATGTATATTACAGATATATTTTCGGCATGGTGCTTGCCATGCATACTTATCTGACAACGGAGGGGAATTTGTCAATAATGTAAGTTGAATATTTTAAATTTTATAAATCAACTTTATGATATGGAAAACTTGAAGTCGTGTACAAAAAGACGCGATTTGCTCAGAGAACTTCCACGCATAGTGAGCAAAGAAGAACTGCCAAGAACTTTGCATTTTCATTAAATGATTACCCAAGATATGATACGAATTGGAACTTGAACGAACAATAGATTTTTTATCATAAGTCGCTCATTACTTTAGTCACCTTTCTGTAACAAACAGAATGAAAGCATATATATCTCTTGATTAATGTAAACAATGAACTAAATATATTTTATTACAAATGTTATGCAAGGTCAACGAGAGCTTGATGACAGTTCTGGGGGCAAAGCACAAGCTAACGGCCAGCTATCACCCTCAAACTAATGGTTTAGATGAAAGGACGAATCAAACCATTCAACGGTATGATAAAAAGACATTTTTGATTTTAAATATGCTTGTGGCCAAAAGCTAACTCTACTAACAATGATTGTGTGAAGAAGGTACCTTCGATCGAGCCCTTTTTAGGCAAAATATTGTAAATAGCGTAAAAATGCAGCAATCGACAGTCAAAAGTTGTCGGCGGCCAAAGTTGTATAAAATTTTTTTTGTTAAGAAATGTTCGTTGACTATATCTACAAAACTTCAGCAAAAGACACTTTCTGATGCAAACAACAATCCTCTGCAAATTGTTATGTTCATAAGTTGAAAACGGAAATATGTTAGAGATTGCAATGCTGTAAACCTTTAAAAGGCACCCGAAAGAGAATTGCTTTTAGTTCATTTTCCTAACTGACCCTCAAAAGTTGTGAACGAAAAATTGCAACATCTGGCAAATTATATCTATTCCGAAGTGAACTTCACAATCAATTTTCTCTCTCAACCTATAAATCATTTTTCCCCAAAATCATATATTTTCTTAGTCGTTTGCGAACCATGGTCGACGAAAATCCAGCGCAGTGGGATGAGTACCTTGATGCTGCGCTATGGTCCATGCGTTCGAAACGGCAAGCGTCGACGAAATTCTCTCCATTCAGAGTCCTGTATGGTAGAGAAGCGGTCTTTCCAATTGAGTTGGAGGAAATCCCAGAGACAATCGAGGTTTGTTCTTAGTCAAGCATCTAGGTCTTGTTGAAGTTAACGCAAAAGCTATGGAAGTTGATAAAGATATACTTACGTCGATATTGATAATACACTTTCATAACATACTGTCTATCACAAACTAGACATGAATGTTAAGGTTTGGACATGCAAAGCTAGGTTGTGAAAAATTATTTGTATTGAGATGTTGTAAAAGACATGCTTTGCCACTAAATAGTCTGATACAAGAGAAATGCAGGAGGAAATGGATGTACAATTTCATTCTTATCGGATAGATCCACTTTTTCTGCTACTACTGCCTTTTTTTTATTGTTATGATCATTCCAAAATACAAAGAGTCTAGAGAATGATCTATTCAGTGTCTCTTTAGTCCGGCAAGTGCACATTCGCATTAAAAGCGGAATATATTTATGCTAGAAATCGATATACTTCTCTTTTCACTAGATCAACAAAGTAACACCCTTGGATGCAGATATCGAAGATCATCTGCAAAAATTTCAGACTGCAAATATTGATTTGCACAAGAAATTATTGAGCAACGTTTCAATAGCCCAGGAAAAGCAGAAGAGGGAGTACGGCAAAAGAGTGAAGGGGACGGTGGAAAAATTCAAAATTGGAAGCAAGGTAATGGTGGCAAATGTAAAGTTGAAAAACCAGAAGGGCAGGAAGCTGGACCAGAGATACAGCGGTCCTATGACCGTTGTGCACATGCACAAAAAACAATGTTTTTTGGAAGATGGCAGGGGAATTCCACTGCAAAACCCTGTACATAAAGGCAGATTAAAGTTGTTCCGAGAAGATGAAGGTAGTAATCACTAAACATTTTTTGCGATAAAAAAGGAATATAATAACGATCATGTCAATGAAATGGAATCAACTGGGAAAAAGACATGAAGTTGAGATGGATAATTATTGAGATGGAAAGAGCGCTTAATTGAGATGGACAATTATTTAATAGGAAGCAACACCAATTTTAAATATTTGCTGTTTCTGCCTTTGCAAGAAAACGATCTTTAGCAAATAAATAACGAACATATCATTTTACTCTAAAAGTCTATGCAACATATTAGCAGATGCTTTAAGGCAATTTAGCGTTTTTATGTGTTTTAAAATATTTACATAATCAGGCTTCGGTTAAAATTATCAAGAATTCTTGATGCAATACAACATCATTGCAATTAAAAGCAACGGCAATGAAATTTATTTTATTGTTTTGCCGACTATCTAGCACCTAACATTAACATCATAATTTTAAATTATGTTGTATTGCGATTCATAATTATGAAATTACATTATCAAGTACTCCAACGATTTGTAGCGGACATGGTTTACTGATGGTTTAAAGGATTCACAGCATAATAGAAAAAGAAAATATAAATATCTTACTAAAATACTCTACATTTCTAAAAATCTTATTTGAAATTGTAGATTCAAATGCTTCTCATTTTTCTTCACCACCAAAAGAGGCACAATACGACAGTGTCATGGACCTTGGAACTACATTCGCTCAGACATCAAGTATTAACTCAAGTATTTTTACCTATTCTTTTAGATTATGTTATAGCTGAAAAGGTTTTTTTGCAAGAGTAAATTATAAGTATATATTTGACTGCGTCTGCATTCACTATATCTTGATAAAACGATCATGCAATAAAAACTCTTTTCAGTCCTTTTAAAATGGGTTCCCAAGTTGCGTGAACTCAGAAATATTCGTTGAATTTAGGATTTAGACATACTTTGATTGACTCTTTTTAAAAATAGATAATTGCAGTAAAAACTCTATTTTCTAAATTTTCAAAAACGCTGCACTTAGATGACGACAAAAAAGATATTGAAAAAAAGTATACGAAGAAAAGAAGCTTAAAGGAATGCTCAAACGGTAGGTTGATCGTCTAGAGATTGCCATTGGATTCGAAGACTTTTGCATCTGCAGGATGCGAGGGTGCTTAGTCATAAAAAATAAATACTTAATTTGATTCAATATTTTTGAACTGCTAAAACTGCTGGAACATTTGTTAAATAATTGAAATCTTTATATCGAAGCAAGAAATGACAATCTCAAACAAACTTCTTGTCTTCCATTTCTTGGCAAAAATATGACAACGTTCACAACTGACCATACATCTCTGGCAGTAAAGCCTGACTAATCAATGGCAAATTTATCATGATAGACAGGGATACCGGTGCTGTAAAAAAGAGGAAAGAGGGAGTGGGAAACAAAGTTTCATCGCGTTTCCAAAACACAACAGGTATCGATTATTTGAAATGCAATGGTTTTCTTTTCTGTGTACATGTAAATTAGTATTGGAATCGGATTTTCTCGGCTAATAAACTTTATACGTTTAAGAAATAGTAAAATCGACAGTATTCAATTTTCACTATATAGGTAACAGTTTATCTCTAAATTCATTGAGAAGATACTTTTTTTACAGTGGTTTATCAAATTTTAATAACCTCGTGCATCAGTGTTAATAAAGGTGTCTGTAAAATTGCGCATATTATTGTCGGTTGTCATTGGTATTGTGCTTATTATATTTTTAGGAAACGCCCTACGGAACACATTGGTTACCCTGCCTTCTAGTAATCTTGCATCAAAGATAGGTATTACACAATTACTAATTTTGTTGTGAAAAGTATATAATGATATATTTAGTAACTTTAAGCACTATATTTCTATCAACACAATCGCATCATATAAAAAACTATCAAGTATCAGCCTTTATAATTATCAATCTCCAAGTATTTAGGCAGCTACTTAATTTTCTTTATTCCTGATCGCAACTGTTATTTCAGAAGAAGCAACACTGATTGATCATCTTTATTCGAAAATAACCGAAGACATAAAAGGTAAGAATTTGATAACAGGGTTACTTTTTAGAGACAAATAGCTTTAGAGATTTTGACAGCTAAGTAATACCAGCTTGAGTGGAGACTGATAAACACAATTTTCGAATCAGCAAATCACAGATACTGGCAGAGGCAGAATGTGGCAGAGGCAGAGCCTTTTTGTTGGAGATCAATAATTCCAACATACACTTAAACAAGTAATCAGCTGTTTTGTCTGCTTCATATGGCATTTCAACAGCCAAAGGTATCTTCCTGTTACATTTTGCATTCACTGCACTTTTCACTACCCTACCTCGCCTCCTTGTTTTGCTTTATAATTTAATTGAAGCAAGGTTCTTTTATTTCAGAAGATTTCGCTCGAAAATCAGCTGCTTCGTCTGCTTCGTGTGGCATTTCAACAGCCAAAGGTATCTTCCTGTTACATTTTGCATTCACTGCACTATTCACTACCCTACCTCGCCTCCTTGTTTTGCTTTATAATTTAATTGAAGCAAGGTTCTTTAATTTCAGAAGATTTCGCTCGAAAATCAGCTGTTTCGTCTGCTTCGTGTGGCATTTCAACAGCCAAAGGTATCTTCCTGTTACATTTTGCATTCACTGCACTTTTCACTACCCTACCTCGCCTCCTTGTTTTGCTTTATAATTTAATTGAAGCAAGGTTCTTTTATTTCAGAAGATTTCGCTCGAAAATCAGCTGTTTCGTCTGCTTCGTGTGGCATTTCAACAGCCAAAGGTATCTTCCTGTTACATTTTGCATTCACTGCACTTTTCACTACCCTACCTCGCCTCCTTGTTTTGCTTTATAATTTAATTGAAGCAAGGTTCTTTTATTTCAGAAGATTTCGCTCCAAAATCAGCCGTTTCGTCTGCTTCGTGTGGCATTTCAACAGCCAAAGGTATCTTCCTGTTACATTTTGCATTCACTGCACTTTTCACTACCCTACCTCGCCTCCTTGTTTTGCTTTATAATTTAATTGAAGCAAGGTTCTTTTATTTCAGAAGATTTCGCTCCAAAATTAGCTGTTTCGTCTGCTTCGTGTGGCATTTCAACAGCCAAAGGTATCTTCCTGTTACATTTTGCATTCACTGCACTTTTCACTACCCTACCTCGCCTTCTTGTTTTGCTTTATAATTTAATTGAAGCAAGGTTCTTTTATTTCAGAAGATTTCGCTCCAAAATCAGCTGTTTCGTCTGCTTTATATGGCATTTCAACAGCCAAAGGTATCTTCCTGTTACATTTTGCATTCACTGCACTTTTCACTACCCTACCTCGCCTCCTTGTTTTGCTTTATAATTTAATTGAAGCAAGGTTCTTTTATTTCAGAAGATTTCGCTCCAAAATCAGCTGTTTCGTCTGCTTTATATGGCATTTCAACAGCCAAAGGTATCTTCCTGTTACATTTTGCATTCACTGCACTTTTCACTACCCTACCTCGCCTCCTTGTTTTGCTTTATAATTTAATTGAAGCAAGGTTCTTTTATTTCAGAAGATTTCGCTCCAAAATCAGCTGTTTCGTCTGCTTCGTGTGGCATTTCAACAGCCAAAGGTATCTTCCTGTTACATTTTGCATTCACTGCACTTTTCTCACTACCTACCTGCCTCCTTGGTTTTTGCTTTATATTTAATTGAGCAAGGTTCTTTTTATTTAGAAGATTTCTGCTCCAAAATCAGCTGTTTCGTCTGCTTTATTGCATTTCAACAGCCAAAGGTTTTCTGTACTTTGCATTCAACTGCACTTTGTCTTTTGTTATTTTTTTTGATATGTTCTGTTGCACAGACGAATTTCCTATTGTTGTTTTAGGTTTTTGAGAAATTCATATCACAGGTACGAACTTTGATTTTGTTTCTAGGGGAATTCCGTTTCTTGGATCATCTTTGTCAATTTGGTTTTTAAGATACATGATTGTTGTATGATAAGCTATGAAAACCCAGCCTTAAATATTGGTTTTCTTTCTACATTGGCTGGCATACTCGTCGTCGAATTCAAATAAAATCAGTCACAAGGAATTCTGCCGGTAAAATACCATACTCCATCTACATTCTTTTTTATAGCTGCTATTGTTAATTCTATGTTTTGTCTTCGTTTTTTATATTATTAGTGAAATAGGACAGCCTTAACAGGATACTTTAGACGAATAAATAAACATTTCACTGCAAACAAAACTTTTCAGAAACTTTTCCTGGACAACAGGAGTCTGATGACGAAATCTGGAAAGTTTAGCAGATGTAGAGGAAATGGGTAAGAATGTTTAAAATGGAAAATTTGTATCTTTAAAACTTTACATTGCACTTGCATATTATTAAAATGTTTAGAAGATAGGACCCGCGATAAGAGTATATTTCGATCTATTCCATTGATAAATTTTTGAAATTTTAAGTTAAGATCATTAACCAGTTATGATCAATACAAACGCGTGATATTAGTGCCATCACTGTCGAATGTTGTGACTAAAACGTCATCGGATTAGTAAAAACACAGTATTCCAGACGTTTGGCTTGCGCATAGTTGCATTACTTATGCCACTTTAAACAAAATAAGAAAATTGCTAATATAATATTTGCCTTACGATACGGATTGATTGAATGTTCTCACAGATAGTCAGCCGATCGATGGTAAGTGAATACTAATCACTCAAAGGCTGATCCACTTTCATTTAGCAATTATAAACTCTTAAGCGACCTGTGATATTATTTTTTTATATGAATTGCAGTTTGCAGCACATTTGGAAACATAAGCAAGGGACGTCATTTCTGCTAAATCAACCAAACATTCTTCGTGACAAAGATTTCCTGACTTTGCGAGATGGAGAATACGTCATAAACGACAGTAACATTTTAAATCTATGTTCTCTATTCCACAATTTAGTTGAAATCATAGAAAAGTGAATCAATGCTTCAGACTCAATGTTTATATGAATTAATAATGTATGGAAAAATTCACTCTATTCACAGTAATCGGAGAGTCTGTCTTGGAATGGTTGCGCAAAAGCACGAAGTGAGGTTGCGGTGATATTGTGCATGTTTATGAAGGTTTACTGTATGTTTCTTGAGCTAAATGTATTGTCTTGCGCTACAATGTATTTGTCTTCTGCGCTAAATGTATTGTCTTGCGCTAAATCGTCATTGTCTTGCGCTAATGTATTGTCTTGCGCTAAATGTCTTGTCCTTGCGCTAATTGTCATTGTCTTGCGCTAATGTATTGTCTTGTTGCGCTAAATGTCATTGTTTGCGCTTAAATGTATTGTCTTGCGCTATAATGTATTGTCTTGCGGCTAATGTATTGTCTTGCGCTAAATGTCTTGTTTGCGCTAATGTCATTGTCTTTGCGCTAAATGTCATTGTCTTGCCTAAATGTCATTGTCTTGCGCTAAATGTCTTGTTTTGCGCTAATGTCATTGTCTTGGCGCTAATGTCATTGTATTGCGCTAAATGTCTTTGTCTGCGCGCTAATTGTCATTGTCTTTAGTGCGCTAAATGTCTTGTCCTTGCGCTAATGTCCATTGTTGCGCTAAATGTATTGTCTTGGCTTAAAATGTCATAGTTGCAAAAATGAAAACAATATAACAAATCATAATTTTTCGAAGCTTCTTTGCCACACCTATTTCATTTGTTTTGTCAGATTTCTGGGCTGAACCCAA